ACAACAACCACAACGACAACATCGCCATAATCAATTCGTCCAACAACGCCACCAACAAACCTTCCAACATCAACAACAGCAAGACAACTACATTCATTATTTAGCTTCCTGTTCGCCTTTAGCTTACATATCATCATCATTGTCGTCGTCATCGTCGTCGTCATCATCTGCATCACCTGATGTTTCTTCAGTTTCTCCATCAACATCATCACTTGCACAAAAATTCATTCATTCAACTCCGTTTACCAACATACAAGGATCATTATCATCGCCACAGACATCATTATCATTACAAACGTCATCATCGTCATCATTACTAAAAACATTAACATCATTATCATCACCCAGTCAAATGTCGCCCATCTATCCATACCCCATGGTTACGTCACTCAAATATGATAATGATGATGATGAGGAGGCCGATGTTGGTGTTGAAGTTAACGACGACGATGATGATGATGTTGATGATGCTGATAGGAAACTGCAAGCTGGACAAAATATGAAACTGGACAAATGCGTTTGGAGGCCATTTTGAATGACGTCAGGCAACTTTTTTGTTAATTCACATTTTAGAATTTCAATCAATTTTAAACTAATGGCTTTAATTCATTTTAATCAATTGTAAATGGCTGATATTTTAAGGAATTTTTATGTAATTATTAACATTTTGTTGATATACTTTGCTACGTAAATACTATTTTGAATTTGTTTCACACAAACACACACACACACATGTATATATACATAAATAACAAATTTACATATATGTTAAATTTAATTTCTTATAATGAATTTAATTACAAATTATTCACGATTATGATGAAACATTTAGAATTCAAAAAATAGAAGTTACTTCAGTGAACAAGTTAAAAGCAAAATGAAACAATATTAATCTCAATCATATTTCAGCTTGTTCATTTTTGTTAATTTTTTCTTTCATTTGTGATCAATAAAAAAATTTTTTATTACTCTGCTCTTGACCATTCTTTCCTAAGCGACACTTTTTTTACAAGATAAAACATTTTCCCCGGTTAATGTTAAAAGTATAAAATTCAGTAGATTAAATAAATATAATATAATAATAATATAATAATAGATATAAATGCGTTTTAATTCAAATTATATTTAAGATAAATTTCAGACAAAAATGAAATTCGTTAGAAGTGGAAAGCGCCGTGAAAGTTCTAGTTGGCTTTTTCGAAAGAAATGGTACTTCAGATGTTGAAGCGATATTATTAATTGGATTAAAACATTTAATCTTTTTTATTTCTCGTTCATAGCATTTATAAATTGCAGTGTTCACGTTAACCGGTTGAGCCTGGGTTCGAATGTATCACTGGGTTACTTTTATTGTTTAGTATGCTTTCTTGTGATTATTATTGTGATTGTAATTAATTATTCAAAAAATAATTAGTCAATTAATTAATCATTCTATTACGGACTTGAATATCTCGAGACGATACGATATAATTATGCCGAGACGTTCAGTGACATAAAAATAGCACTAATGACGGCAAAGAGCAATAAATTAAAATATCATCAGCCCGACATACCACCTTCACTGTACACAACGGTACACAGATAAAAAGCGTAGT